CTGGGCACTGGATCAATATATTAGTCCTAAAAATAATATAAAAAGTTGCCAAAAGTATATGAAAGTTGAATAATATTGGCATGGAACAATCAAAAATTATAAATACGACGGAGACGTATCAGTGCCTCGGGCTCGAGGGCCATCATATCCAAGGCGGAGCGCGGCAAGGCAACAGGCGCAGTACGACAGGCGCAATGCCGGTCGCCGTTACGTGTTCCCCAAGGCCGACCTGACGCCGAAATGGGTCTGCAACAACTCGGACCTTCCCGCCGCGTGGGCACTCGATTGTTCCGTCACCACCACGGAGACGACCGCCAGGCATAGCCGTCGCCTTGACGACGAGCTTGCCAAAATCAACGATGAGCGCTCACTTAGCGACTACTCCGCCCACGCCGCCAGGTCTTCGCCGCGTCGTCGACAGTGGCCAAGGCGGCCCTCCGCACTGAGCAGCAGGAGGTGCAACGGCTCCTCCGCGAGCGGCGGGCAGTTGCTGGACAAGACTGTCGCAGCCCTCCAGCACCCTTGCATCGCTGGAGGGACGACGACGACACAGACAGTGACGGCAGTGCGGCAGGACAGGGCGGTCACGCGTACAAGGTGGTCATCCAACATATGGTTTAGAATTTTTTATATAGTTTTTAGTGGAACGGTCGAAATATCACCCGTTTTATGTAAATTATATCCGAACTTTAATAAAATCCGTAGTGTTTACATGAACTTTGCCCGGTCTGTTGAAACCCGGCTTGAAATGTATACGGGTAGCGTTGGATCGCCGGTTTCCGCATCAGTGTCCGTGAACTGGTCTCATCTACCAGCAGACGGGTGCCGAAACAAATTTGCATATCAGCGTTGGAGATACCCTGAAGGCCGAGTTTGCAATCAGAAGAGATTACTAAAAGTCATTTCCAACTCAAATTGATCCCTTATTTGGCACGATGCGTGCTCTTAACCACGACCACCTGCCCCACATCTGAAAAGCAAAGGAAATCGGGCACGATGCGTGCTACCAAACGAACTCGAGACGAGACCCATTCCATTTCTATGACTTATTACGAACAGCCCGGTCGACCGTTCACTCGCTTTCCACGCCGTGAAACTACCAGTCCGCGATTTCTTTTCCAACGGTACGTAGGTCTGCCGTGAAATGAACCTACCTAGCCATCAGCTCTCTAGAGATTGATTCTTACGGAGACGTTCAAGCAGACCTCACGCGTGATGCAGGCCTCCCGTTGACTGAAGCAGGATCTAGCAGCAAAGGTCTCCCCATGTCGAAATGATCTTCTCCATTCCAGCTTATCCATCGTCTTCAAACGTCACTATGGATACGTGCATGAAGACTTTCCAGCTAAAACCGGCAAGGTCAAGCAGACTTTCCAGCGCACTGGAGCCACAGTTGTCGCCGTTGAACCCTTGCATAGATCTGAAACATCTAACACCAAATCTGGCCACATGACAATAAACTCTAACTTCACCGCCCCAAGGAGACGGCAGGAATCTACGCCAGAGCTCCGTCGACTACGTCCAGGCGGATGAACTCGAGGATCGAAGCCCGATAGACAATCTCGAATAAGAAGAGAAGCATTCGTCCAAGCGACGCTTGCAAGGACTAAAAAACCCTAATAAACTGCTAACCAGAGTGGAGGCACAGGGATTAGAAAATTCTCTGCCATTGGTCGCCAGAGCGGCAGACAGAAGGAAGGTAAATCCACAGGCTCCCCGATTTAGTCTGGTTGGGAGAGCTTGCCCTTGTCACCTAGAGTCAGGAGAGGAAACAAGAGGGTCATGCGCCTTTTTGAAGTTTGCTACGCAAAACTGAAAAAACGTGGGAACCCTAGCAACGCTCCTGCGGGCGTCCGGGAGGCAACCCTAGCGCCGCCGCCGCCACCCCCTCCTTCTCTCCCTCCTCCCTCGTCGCCGCCAGGGGCACGAGCGGGCGAAGCCCGGTCGTAGCCGGCGGTGGCGGGGCCCTTTCGTCTCCTTGCGCAGGAGGTGCGTCGCGGGCCGGATCTCGCCGGCTGGGATTTTGTGCTCGATGCCGGGCGCAGCGGTGCGGCGACGCTCCGGAGTAGGCCGGCGACGGCGGCGTGGCGTCGGGCAACGGGCGGCATGATGGTGGTGCAGGTCGGTGGGTGGTGTCGGCGGCGGTTGCCTCGCAGCAGCGCCTCGGCGCCACGTATGGCGCTGCGGGTCGCGGGCGGCCGCTCTCGCTGTGGATCTCTGGTGGAGGGACGGCGCGACAGCGGTGGAGGTGGGCGGCCCCGTCCAGCCGGGCCCTTGCGGCTGGACGGTGGCGGTCGGCGCGGGAGGGCCTCCCTGGTGACCTCTCATGGCTGCGGCGTCGGCGGTTCCGTGCTCTCTCCTCCTCGGCAGCGGGCAGTGGCCAGCACTCTCTTGCGGATCTGGGCGTTCAGCTTCGGGGGCGAGTCAGGGGTCTCGGTGGGGGGATGGGAGCTGGTAGGAGGGACGGGTGCGCCGTTGCGTGCCCCGTCGCCAGCGCAGAGGTACCGGTCATGGCCGGAGGCCGCTCCTCCTCCTCCCCCTTCCCCTGGCCGACTGGGCACGGTTCCTCTTGAGGCAGTGGTCGGCGGCGGTTCTGAGGTGGTTGGGCTCGTCGATCTTGTCCAAGGCGTTGCCTTTGGGGCTTCTCGAGGTGGTCCGGTGGCGGGACGGCGGCCCTGGCGGTGGGAGTCGCGTTGGTCGTAGGCGGACTGTGTGACTCGGATGTGGGCGAGCAACCATGGCTGCTTGGGTGGCATGGCTGCAGGTGGTTGGCGGACCGGGGATGCGGCGGAAGGGTGGAGCACCGGGGTTCATCACTTACCTGTCCGTGCATGGGTCGACTGTGGCGGCGTTCGCGGACGTCGTGTTCCTCCTTGCAGGCTCCATCGTGGTGCTCCCACTCCACACTTCCAGCTCCGGGTGAAAACCTGATCTATGGATCGGACGATGGCGACGGTCTGTGGCCGTGCCCTTCTTGAAGGCATCGTCTTGGAGCCCTCGGTCCAGGGCCGGTCCTGAGATTTTGGGGGCCCGGGGCAAAAATAAAACTTGGGACCTTTTATTATCCAAAATTATAATCATTATGTGCATGCTTAGTTATTTTTTTAAAAATCAACTCAAAAAAGTTAATTTTTTAAACATGAATTGCTCTTTTTTTTTAATCATGGAGTGCAAAACCAGCTTGCGACCTAGTTCCAGGATCTAATTATATATTGTTATATTAATTATTTCTCACTTTTGTTAAGATTTTGACAGGGAAGTTTCATCCATTGTATATTTCATCATAGTTTGGCAAACAAAAGTAATTTGAGCTCCTCGGCATAGCTGGAATAACTTTATAATTTGCAACACTAAAAATTAATTTTGCCACCTAATAATATTGAATCGACCATGAATCCTCCAATTAATTTAAGCTTGGCTATCATCATCGTTCCATAGATTCTACACATCCTCTGCCCTCGTCTTTCATCGATATCCAACACAACCAGATTAATTAGTCAGAAGGATTGCCATACAAAAATTAGTCAGACGGGCATCCTAGTCTTCTCCGCTAATTCACTATCTCCAAATTCTGCCACTAAAAAATCACATATCAATCTATCTAGCTTTGTTGGATGATGCATCAGGAAGATGCTAACCTGATCAATCTGTAGTTTCTGCCTGCCAGGGCCGGTGGTATTGTTACTCCTTTCCATAGTGATAGAACATGAAATTACTCGATCCGCCATTGGAGGAGGAACCATCGGGGGAGGGATCTGCGGGAGGAGGCTTTGTCGGCGGCGGGGTCGCACATGGACTTGCGGGACTTGAGGAGTCGTGCGTGATATCGCTCATATCGTCATGCGCGGACCTATGCGAGGGCAAACAGAAGTTCCACCAATTTAGCGAATCGCTGATTTACTTGCCCACATGTAATGTTAGCATGTACAGGTCTGTTGCATCAAAATTTGCCTAG